TTGTGTTATTAATTTAGCCATAGCCAGTTGTATTAAATGTATTTGTAGTTTTTATAAATTTGTTTAATTTTTATCAATTGCAAAATAAATTGTTTAATAAAACATGACTCCATTGGAATTAAAAAAAAAAAAAAAAAGATACCTAATAGATTAAAAATTATATGCCATATACCTAACTAACAGATAAATAATATTTTACTAGATATGACACCTTCAAAAAATCTTTAACCAAAGAATTTATCTAGGTGATCAAAAAATTTCAGATTTTAAGTAAAATAATTTTGTCTTCTATAAAAAACTATTTTGACTTTTTTTTCAAAATTGTAATTTCAGGGCTTCAAAATAATTTTGCATACAAGTATAGTTAGACAGTTTAGTTCAGAGTTAGAGTTAGAGTTTTAGAATTATAATAAAATATTCTTTTGCATTACAGTTTTAATTTGTTAAAGTGTTAATTGTTAATTGATACACTGCCTATTAACAAGTCTTATACCACTGTTAATAGTTAAATCATCTCTTTCATAATTGACCATACATAATTCCTTTATATAAACTCTTCTTATTTTTATTAATTAATAGTTTAAGTTATATTTGTGTAATTTATAAAGTAGTAAATTAGTTTAATAGTTTAAGTCTTTGTTACCATCATCCTTCTACAAAGTTAAAGGTTTAGAAGGGTAACAGTATTTATTATTTAATAGATTTGAAATTCAGTAATTATTAATCTTAATTTTTATATTCAAATCATATATTTAAGAAAGTAAATAAATAGATATCAAATATAAACATGATAAAATTATGTATTTTTAATAATTATAATAAATATATATACAAATATATTTAATAAAAAATTAAATATACTAAAAATACTTTAAGTTTGAAATGTTTAAAAATTATTTATAAAAAAATATTGATGCTTTATTCTATTTCATCTTTTTTTTACTATTAAATCGTGTAGGTAATGGTCAATAATAATTTATTTTTCAGATGTCACATATGTAATATAAAAACATCGAAGTGAAACAAATCAGCCCATATGTTAATCATGTAAAAAACCTTAACCAGTTAATTACAGTCAAAGCAGTTAACTGTTAATGGTATCAATTTCTACCTGTACAAATAGAAAAATTCAATTTTGATAACACACCTCAAAAATTGGTCAATTTAACATATGTTATTTGTTGCTGTTGAAGCAAATGAAAAAAGAAAAAGCTCAACTAAAGAATATAATTCAGAGTTCACAAAAAATCACAAAAAAAGATATATAATAATTTTATGCAAATTTATATTAATATTTGAAAATATTTTTTAATAAAAAAAATATACACAAGTTGAATGAAATTATTTAACAAATTTAGAATATTGTATATTTGATATTTGTTAGTTGGATTTTATTATTATATTTATCTTAGACATGTTCTAAATTTTATACCTGGTTTAAAAGAAAACAACTTGCAAGAAATACAATGCTGCAAGAAATGATGTAAAATTTTTAGAACGTGTGATGAAGAAATCGGAATGATCATCCCAGTAGCACAAATAATATTATAGTATTTATGACCTCCATAAAATTATTCGCATATTTCCGAAATTTTGGGGAAGGAATACGTAAACATTGAATTTTATTTGTCTTTATTTGGGTAGTATAAAAGCCATGGCCTATTTTTTTTTTTTGCAACATAGCCCAAATTAACAACCCACCAGGAGAGCGTTTTATGATCCCAGTAACACAGATAACATTTTATTAATATTATATGTATTGGGTCAGGAGAAAAGCGAAGTGTTCCAAAAATTTTCCCCAAAAATCATAACACGGTTAACAAGTACAATTTCGCGGCTTAATAATTAACACTGCTTGCGATTTTTACCAAAATTTTCAGTATCTTCAGTTTCTATATTTTTTTACAAGCCCTCTTCAGGTATCTAAATTTTTCGAGTAACATTTGTGCTTGATTTGTTATTTTGTTATTTTTAAGGCTGAGTAATTAACAACTTATCATTTTTTGCGCCAAAATGTTATCGAATTTCCTTTTTAAACTTTATCAAACTTAATCAGTTTTTTTTTTTTTTTAAGTGATTGTTCGCCTAATTTTTACGGCTTTATTTCATATTTCTTGGTTCAATCCAAGTTCTTTGCCTAAGCTTTAAGCAAAAAAAAAGAGATCATGCCACGGGAACTCTCTGCTCTTGCTTACCTTTTACCTTCCAAAAATTATTTATTAGATTCCCCTCAGATATATAAATACAATACTTTTATTGAAAATTCTACTTCTTTACATACGTCATCGTATGCTTTTGATTGTATAAGCAATATTAACTTTTTTAATACTAATACCGACTCTACCATTAACATTACCCCATTTGATATCAATAAAAATCACTTTATCGATATTGACTCTACTAGTAAAAACAATACAATATCTTTTCGTATTTTATTAAAAAGAATTATATCTAGTGGATTCTCTTTAATAAAAATGAATATTAATCTACATCCACCTGTTGGTTCAATAAAACCCGTGATTTATTATAATGGAAAATTTCATCTCGTGGAAGAAGATACTGCTGCCAAATTTCATTTTGATACCGATTATGCATTATTTCAAATTTATAATCTAAAAGTATGTATATAATTTTCTAACTAAATAGTTATGGATATCTCTCTATCTCTAAAAAAATTTTATAATTAGGGTAGCAAAAATGATTTCATTGAAGCCATTACTGATTTAGCAGGACCTTCCAGTACTATATCATTCTTGAATGATTTCGTGAGAGTTTTTACAAGGAATTTGGAAAGTAAGATAGAATTAAGAGCTGGTTCAGTTAATAACACATTGGACCCTAATAGATTAAAGGTATAACCTCATTCACTTATATATATATAATTTCCTTCTTTTTTTTTCGTAATTTCTTTATCATATCTTTTCTCAATTGTATAAAGATAAAAATTAAATTCAGCAATAAATCTCATGCAGACTTAGTAGACTTCTTAGCAAACTCATCGAAAATTGCATCATTAACATTAAACGGTTTCACTGATTGGATACCATTAGATAGTACAAGTTATGAATGTATTCTAAAATCTTCAACGCGAATCGGTAATATTGATAATATAGCATCATCATCATCATCATCGTCAAGGTTTGAAGCGTTAATAAAATCCGAAGAAGAACGTCAAAATTCGATTCTTAGAGCATTGGGTGATACAATTGATCCCATAGTCTTAGATGTAGCAATTGACGATTTATTAGATGATTTCGCGACAGGTGCATTTGAAAAATTATTTCCAGGACCAATTCTAAATATTAATAGAGATAGTAAAAAAAATAATGGGAAAGTTGTAATGACTACAGTGATAACTAGAGGAAGGTATTCGTTTGATGAAAGTATGGGAAAGATTTTCATTGAGATATTGAATGCTTTAATTCAGGATCGAAGATTGGAGAAGAATTTTGATGAGGTAAATATTAATTTAATCATCATATTTATATATTTTAATTATTGGTGTAATAAGAAGACAATAATAAGAGTAAAAATTTTAAGCCAAAATTTCCCTTATTAGCATACATATGATTCATATTTCTTGTTAGTAGTCAGATTACTAAATCTAATTAGAGATTTGGTACACCTCAATGAAATATACGAAGATTTTCATTCACCCAGAATGTGTCCTTTATTCTCGAATTCAATAAAATATATGAAAGTTAAATATGTGGAAAGTTTGACAGATCTTGAGAAAGCATTAATTGATATTGGATTCGAAAAATTTGAAGGTAAAATTTTTTATGAAGGTTTGAAATTTTACCTATTACGAATCGCAATTTACCTTTTATAAATCTAGATCGATTACAAGAATTAACAATGATAGTGCGAGAAATAGATAGAAATGTAGAAGCTTCATACAGAAATATACAAATGGATGTGGAAAAATGGGAAAAACAAAAGAAAATGGTCAATTTCTTTTATATATTATCAATGTAAGTGATGGTTTTTTTTATTTTTCTCTAATTCTGTAATTTTTTGTTATTGAATCCTATTTTCTTTTAATTCTTTTAATATAGTTTTGTGACAATTGCATTGCCAGTTTCATATCATTATTATAGACAACTTCCATTTAAATTTATTATGGTATCTATTAAAGATTTGTTTTCTTTCAATAATAATATTTTAAATAAATCTAATAAATCTATAATCTGTTTTTATCCTTCTGTTTAGACAGTAATAGGAATTTCTATAAGTTTATTAAGTGCATTGTGGAATGGTTGGTCAAAAAATAATTATAGTAAAGCTATCAAAACTCACAAAAAAGCTATATCTATTCATGCAGCAACAGCAAATAGTTTAGAAGCATTGCAAAGATGGTTAAATAGGATTTCAATAGTGAAAACTTATAAAGTTCCAATTAACAATGAAGAATTGAATGTGAGAAAAACAGTTCTTATGTATTTGTTTGATGAATTGGTATCAACATCTGCAGAGATTAGACTAAGCATTGGTCTTGAAGATGAATTAAGAAAATATAGATAAAATTAAATCTATTAAATGAATAATATATATAACAATTTGAAATTATTTTTAGAAACAATAGAATATATTTGGGTTGGTTTTTTTTATTCATTTTGTATTTTTTGTATTTTAGATGTGTGGATATATGTAATTCTTGTATTAATTTATTTCTATGCATGTTTGGATTTTAAAAGACATTTTTACTGTAATTTTTATTTAATTAAGATCAAATCCTTTTCTGCAAATGTTATTTAAAAGTGTGTACTTCTTTGATTATAATTATAATATGAAAATCTTACCTTGTATATCTTGTGTTAAAGATATGATCCATATGGTCTAGACAAATAAGTATTTCTAAATACTCTAAATGTTCTAAATTTTCTAACACTGATCAAATGATGAAAAATAAATAAATTTCTAAATGTTCTAAATGTTCTAACATTGATCAAATGATGAAAAAGAAATAAATATTTGGCACTAATAGGCAGGGAGATACATAGTATAGGCAGGTTGGTTTGAGACTAATTTATAGCATTCTTTTTAGACCATATAGTAAACTTAACAAATTTAATTTAATAAGAATATTTATTACATCATGTAAACATGTATGCAGAGTATACATGTTGTCAAAACTATTGAATTTAGTCATACACAATTAAAATTATAAAAAATTAGAATTGAAAAATTGACACAATCAAAGGCTTTTTACTTTGACAACATGTATAATGCAAGAGTAAAAGTATATAATGCTTGTTATTTTGCATAATTTATTAATGACTTGATATACATACTAAAAACAGAACTTGGATATCAAAAAAATTCTACCTTATTACACTTACAATTACATTAGGTATTGTTAGATATTGTATTTATAATCATGCATTGTTAGAATAATTATTTAATATTTTTTTTTCTTTATTTATTTTTACATGTCCTTTTCTTATTTATTTATATATAATACAGTACTATTTTATTTTATTTATTTATTTATTTATAATTATATATTTATAGTTGATTATGTACTGATTTAATATTTTATGAATATAATTAGCAATAGACTAATTAGATCATTAGTCTTCTAATATAGTTGTTCCCTTTGATAATTAAATTATGAAAATAATTATTAATCTGTTAATTAAATCAGCAATATATTGATTGAATATTATATGTAATTTATTAAACAGCATAGCATAATCCTTTATTTAATAATTCAATTATTCCAGAAAGAATTGATCAATTTCTATAAAAAGAAGGATTTAGAGGTTAACTTTGATCATAATTTTAACTTTGTAGAAAAAGCAACAAATAATAAAAGTATATAGCTTATAAATAAACAAACTGAATAATTGATTAATTTTGTTATTGTTTTTATTGTTTTATTGTTTTTGATTACATTGTCCAACTTACCTTCTTTGTAGGTCCAGGTTATAGTTTTACTCTTCTAATATAGATCCTAATGGTGTAAATAACATAGATCCTAATAGTGTAAATAACACATATCAAATGATCAAAAATTGGCAAATTTTCTGGCACAAATCAGCTTAACCTATTTGTGTATCATTCACAAATCTCCCTGCCTATTTTATGTACCATTTACAAATATCCTTACCTATTTGCATATCATCCTTGTTATTTGTCATTTACAAATCTCCCTGGCTATTTGTATATCTTCTAAAATTACACAGCAACTAGAGATTGTCAAGGAACAAATTGATAACTTTTAAACTTGATGTAGCAACTTGACACTATAACTATGGACCCTTTACTTATAGAAAAATTAATTTTTAAAATTTTTTTAAAATCAAATTTAAAATTTCTAATAGATAATTTTACAAAAATAATATCTGCTACAAATTTAATCTGTAATAAAAAGTAGTTACCTCTAATAAAAGTAGCAATCCTAATTAAAGTAGTTACTTTTTTTCAGGTTGCAACATTTGTTATTATAAAAATCCAAGATAGTAATTATATAGCTATCTCATAAGTAACTACTTTGTAAAAATTTGAGAATTTTCATCAACATCATTAGGAGAGAGAAAAAGAAAGAGAAAGAGAAAGAGAAAGAAGAAAAGAAGAAATAGAAAGAGAAGAAAAGATATAAGACTTTTTTTTAATTCAAATTCATGAAAATATTTTTAAATATTTTTATATTTTAAATATTTTTGAATATTTTAAATATTTTTGTAGATTTGAATAATCTGAATACAATAAATTTGAATTTGAACACAGTAAATCTGAATCTGAATACAACAAAGCTAAATTTGAAACTGACAAATTTGAATTCAAAATTGGAGAATTTAAAATATCAGATATTGATAAAATCTGCAATCTGATTATGCAGACCCAATCTAATTATGTGAATAATTTATGAAATAGATCATGAAATATAAATTTGCCCAATCTACCTCACAAAGTAGATTGGAATTTTATTATTAATTATTCAAATTCTTATCGAATTTTAGATTGACCAATCCAATCTATTTATGTTATTTATGTGAACACGATTTGGTTTGGCCTAAACAAATCCAATTCAAATCCAAACCTTATATGAATACATTTTATAAGATCTGAATTCAATTTTTATTGTATTTGAATTTATCTGAATTCATAAAAAATATTGAATTTTTTTTGGATTTGAATATTTTTTATAGATTTAAATATTTTATAGATTTAATAAAAAAAGAACAAAAAAATTATAATGTTATTTATAAAACATATATTTATTGGACCACTGGATCTAATCTGAATCCTTTTTGAATTCAGATTAATCTGTGGATTAAACTTTAAGATCTAAATATTTTTGTGAAACCTTAGGAAGAATTTTGTATTCGTGACGAGTTCAAAATAAGTGATTATAAAAGAAGATTAAATATAGAAAATAATCTAAAATGAAAAAAAGAAGAAATTAACGAAATATACAAGAAATTAAATAAAGACGACTAATGCAGATTTTGCAATTCAAAAATTTGCAATTTCACAATTATATTTCACAAATCCATAATTATTTCAATAATTATTAAAATGATCACTTGACAAAATAAGTTTAATAATACAAAAATTGCTCAAATGCTTGTTGAGATATAATTATCTAAAATTTATATTTTAATTTTATTCTAATTTATATCGATCGATAAACTTCTCTAAGTTATTATTTTAAAGAGAAAAAACCTGGAAATTCTAAATTTTTGAAACAAAAATTTCAACTATTGTGAAATTGCAGATTTTATAATGCAATTACAATAATTACAATTACATTTAAAAATCTACGAATATTGAGGATTTGTAAAATTAGTTGCAGATATCATCTTTACTAAGTGAATTGTTAAACAATACAATATTATACTGTATTACTTCATAAATTTGAGACAAAGAATAATGAAATGAACTAGCAGATGAATAATAAGAACATCAAAAGCAATGCTCAATATCATTTCAAACAATGTTAATCAAGAGAATACCCTTGGTGTAAAGTTGTAATCTGAGATGAACATTGCACTTCAAAAACTGTGGAAATTGTGAATATCTTTATTCAAATGTCCTCAGTGTTAAATAGAGATGGACAGACACATTAATGTAGCAAGAAATATCCTTCTATATTCAGTGTTAGGCTCCCCCTTATGGTTTGAATAAGTTTAATATTTGAGACATTTATGTAGCTAGAAATCACTTTTTTTAGAAAAAAAATAATTTGATTATACTGTATGCCATAACAATAAATAATGATGCATCAATGTGCAGTGTGCACCAACTCTGATTACCAAACAGAATTACTTCTTTGTTTTCCACCATAGTTTGGGAGTTGTTTTTTGTAATTACTTTAAAAGGCGTTAAAAATACATTAAATCTTTGAATTTGAGAGATTTTAAAAAAATTTATACAAAATTATATTAATTATAATTGTACTAATTATATTACGGCTTGGCTGCCTTAAAGCTGACCGTTAGCAGAAATTCATTGTTTTATTTTATGATTTGGTAAGAAATTATGATTGACTTGCATTTTCGTTTTTTTGCCCTATTGGTTTATGTACGCCAAAAAACGTCCTTTAACTGCGGAATAATCGATCACACGATCATTACTGGACAATATGTATTTCCGTAAATAGTAATAGTAATGAGAATGCATGAAGGATCTTCCCTGCTGACCTTAATTTGTCATACGATATGCATTAATAAGGTGAAAAAAATAATAAATTTTCGCGATTTTTTCTTCTACGTAAACCTTTTTAAACTACAAATCTTATAAATTTTGTTTTCCTAAAAGAAATTAACATATTTTCTAAAAGATAATAATGGCATATACAGAAAAAAGAGTTTTAGAACTACGAGAGTTGTGTCAAGGTATTCATAAATAATCAATTTTTTGTGGCTAAGTGCTGTATTATTATTGTTTTCAAAATGGCTTAGTAAATAATTATTGACTTTTTTGTTATTAAGCCCGAGGTTTACCTACAAGTGGTGTTAAAAGTACGTTGGTGGGTCGCTTAAAAAGTTATGATCTTAAGAGATCAAACGGAAAGCAAGAAAGTATGAAGTTAGACTACGTGGAAATTCCCGTTCGCAAAACTTCAACAAAGGATGGAAGTTTACAGGATCAACATGATACATCGGATCCTTCCCAAGATGTGGTACAATCACGACCAACATTACAAACCATTTTACCAGAAACTCCTAAATCATTAACTGAACAAGATATTTCAATAACTGAAGAAACTCAAGAATTTACAGATCCAGTGATAGAACAACACGATCAATCTCAAATATTACAATTATTATTATCACCCGAGACAGAATCACCTAATCCTAGTACAATTCCTATAGTTCAAATACCAACAATATCAACACAAATGAATAATTCTTCACCAGTGTCTAATACTACATCACCATCAACTACATCATTATTTGTGACGTCACCACCAACTCCAACACTACTTGCGACAACACCACCATCTACATCGTCATTATTTGAGACGACATCACCATCAACTTCTTCATTATCTTCTTCATTATCTACATCATCACTATGTGAGACGACATCACCACCAACTCCGACATTGCTTGCAACGACACCACCATCTACCATATTATATGAGACACCACCATCTACATCATTAACAACACCACAGCCTTCTTGCTCACCTTGTTCACCTTGTTCGCCTTGTTCACCTTGTTCACCTTGTTCACCTTGTCTACCTTGTTCACCTTGTCTACCTTGTTCGCCTTGTTCACCTGGTCTACCTATGCTATGCGAATCACCATCATGTCAAAATCAAGTTGAGATTGATCGTGATCTCATAAATCGATTAATGTTAGAAAGAAAACAATATGATACTAGATCATATACGAGAGGAGTAATGGTAAATCAAGGTCATTCAAATTGTGATCAAGATCATTCTAATGGTGATCAAGATCATTCTAATAATAATAATAATAATAACGATGCAGAATATAATTATGATTTATTATTGGAAACAGTTCAAAGGTCATGGATCTACAATGATGGGGAAATACCTTTCTGGTTTAGGGATATGTACGACACGACTTATGGTTATTCATATTGGGGTGAAGGAATTATGATTAATCAAATCGAAATAGAAGAAAGCAATCCAATAGTGTTGAAGATAAAAAATTCCTTATGTTAAATTTCAATTGTAAATATCAATAAAAATGATTATTTATTATGATTTTTAATATAAATTTATTTATAATCCTTATAATTTTGTGATTTTTCATTCTATAGGTTCGTTATTTTAATACACAATGATGATTTACGTTTTTACATTTTTTTACATTGAGTAAAATTCGAATGTGTGTATTAGAGTCAGGGAGTAACAAACTTACAATAAGGATATGCGTTAAAAAATATTAAACATTAAAATATATTGAAATTTGGGAATTCATCATATCAATATTTTACATGATTATCATAAAAATTATTTCTAAAACATTCTTTAATTGATTTTACTGCAATATCACAATAAAAAAAACTATAATATTTTTACATTATTTTTCACCTGGGTGAAAAATAAAATATAATTTTTTTTTTTTTTTTTCAAAGAAATTTCATAATAATCGTTCCACGTGATAATAAGATCACAAGATTACAAGAATTCACAAATGTTATTTACACACGCCACATTGCTAACTTTGACTAAAGGACCTTTATACTCATTATGCATAATAATACAATGAAAAATCATAAAATAAAAAATAATTATTTTAATAACTGCTTATTGATTTTAGTATTTTAGTGATTTATAACTTATGAAAGAAATAAAATGGAGACAGTTTAATTTCAATTGAATTGATATTGATTAAGATATTTCAAATTTGCAGTTCATAATACATATATTAAATTAAATGATACATGTGTCAAATGAAAATTGACAAAATCTTTAATACCAAATTATTATTAAATTACTATACAAATTAATTACTATGTTTTAAATTTGGACATGTATAAATCTATCTCAAATCTTTTGAAATTGGATATTCTCAAGAGGTTTTTGGTTATAATCATTTCTTCATGGAAATACTTAAACTGTATTTTGATTGATCAGAAATTATTTCATAGTACATATTGTAGATGAGTAAATAGATAGCACATATATTAGGATAATATGTTTTACTTTATAAACAATTCACTAATAAAACTTATTTGCATAGTCAGGATTTTTAAAAAAATCTATCTTGAATACACTTTCCTATATTACAGTATATCCGAAACAGATAATAATTAAGATTCTTTGATTTACATATTGTCAAAAGTATAAAGCCTTTCAACTAATTTTCATATCAATTTTTTTATAATTTTAATTGCATTTGACTAAATTTAATAGTTTTGATCACATGTATACTATATTATATATATACTTCATACATGTCATCAAAAATGAGAAGCCTTTGACTCAATTACTAAAATTTAATTGTGTCTATATAAGTGTGTCAAATAATTATATCAAATTTATTGATTTTTATAGCTCAATTTCAATTTTAATTGTATTTGATTAAATACAATAGTTCTAATTACATACTGTATATAATCAACTTGTCTATCATTAGTCAAATAAAAAATAAATAAAATGATTTTATTATGAATAAGATTTTAATTCATAATAAGTTTTATTAAAATTTATTAAGTATAGGTAGTTGGTTTATAGGTAAAAATTTTCTTTTAATCTAATTTATAAATAGGAATTTCTATTTTATAAATTTTATAAATAGGATATCTAATTTGCAACTAGTTTACTAATATCAAAACTGCTATTTAATATTATCTACAGTATTAATAAAGTTATTCTTTATCATTTTACATATTTACTAATAAACTGATATTATAATGATGATTTTTGCATTAGTTTTTAAAACATTTAACAATAAAGATATTATATACATATTATATTTTCTTGAAAACTGCTATTTTGATGTTATTTATATATTAATAAAAATTGTTTCTTTTATTATTTTACATATATTTTATATATAATAATAATAATTTTTGTATTTATTCTGAGATATTTAACAACAAAGATATTTTAATTATTTTTTATGTCTTTTTTATAATATTACTATAAATTTAATTGAAATTTATTTTAGACTAATTTGAAAGATAAAATTATATAATTAGATCCAATTCAGGTGTTAAAGTTATACCTTAGACAGAGATTAAACATATATATTATCTTGTTCTATTTATCTTAAAAACATCTTAACAAAAACTACTTCATATTTTATAAATCACAAGTATAACTTGAATTACTTATAATTATAAAAATCATTCAATACAATTTTGGCAATATAGTATTAATAAGATATAAAAGAATATATTAATAACATCAATAATAATAGTAAAAATAAAATTGTTTATTCATATCTCAAATTACAATAAATTGATGAATTCATATTTATATTAAAAAAAAGTAATACAAAATAACCTCTTATAACTTGATAACACAAGTTGAATGAAGAAAAGCTGGCAGATTGTTTGACAAGTATCTTGGGTCAAATGAAAAAAAAAAAGATTCTATATAAGTTTTCTTAGTTTTATAATTTTATGGTAGTTAATTTATAAATAAGAATTTCTGATTTATAAATAGGAATTTTCAATTTATTATTACAAAAATAAATTTTTTACAACTTTCTTTTCATAAAACCATATAACTTTCTAAAACAGGCATTGTTAAAAAAAAACAAATATAAGAAAATAATTTTTCTCAATCTTGCAATTAAGATAATAAATTAATTTTTTTTACTTTTCATGACAATCTTAAATAATATAATAGTTTAAAAATAACAATAATTAAAAATTCTCAGCCATCAATAAATATTATAATTTTATATTCACAAGTATATAAATTGTTCTCTGTAATATCCCTGAATTTATATCTAAAAATGGTTAAAATTTTTATATTTATTTAATATTCTTTATTTCTTTAAATAATTTGTTTTCGTAAGAAAAATAAGATACAGCATATTTTTAAATATTATTGGATTGAAAAATCGTGATTTACAGAATTTAACCCGAATCTTCACGTGGGATGATTTAAATTGATTATTTTTAAAATAAAATTTATCTATTTAGGCATAAAATTTCTAATTAGATAATTTACAAGGCGAATCTTTATATAAGTTTCGTTCATACATTAAATAATGTTTTTTAGGTAAGACTTTATGTATGGTAATTTTTTAAAAATAGTAAAGATATTGGACGAATAAAATGAGAAAGGAAACAAAAATTCACGTGTCCTTATAATTTTTTGTGACATATTTAAAAAATCGTATTATTCCATAACATATTGTCTCTCTAGTTTGGTATGTGATTTTTGCGTGTTATATGCGTGGTGATTATGTCATTGAAACTTTGTTTAGCTTTAATTAGTAGAAGACGCCCAAAATCAGGTACAAACTAGTTCCTTTGCTTATGTATAATACATATTCTACAATACTTGATAGACTGGATCGTGAAAAAAAAAAATAAAAAAAAAATCGGGAAATTTCTGCAGGAGAAATAAAATAATTTGCTTTGACCGCAGTTCTAAGTAGTTTTTTAGTAGTCATAAAATTCATAAAATGATAAAATTAATTATTTCTCTACTCTGCTTTTTTTTTTACCCTTTGATTTATAGAGTGACACAACAGAGACGTGATTATCACATTGTCCCACAAAGGTATGTGGGCGCGAAAATATAGAATAGATAGAACGATTAAACGTGGGTGCAGTCCCACCATGTTTCAATAATAAATATTTATCTTTTTTTTTTATTTTTTTTAAAAAAGGAGATTAATTGATAATATAAAAATTCACATATGGTCGGAATTAATTATTCATTCATTTATTGAAGTTATGAAATTCGCGGGATAAATGAATAAATATATAATGAACAAAGAGAATGAACACAAAATGAATACAGGGAATGAACACAGGGAATGAATACAGAAAATGAATAAACAAAATGAACACAACTTTGATAACATATAAACATACTAAACATGTAACAATATTCGATATTGTTGTTCATTATTTGACATTGTTCAATGAAATCACGAATCTTTCACTCTTTATTACAAAGCATAAGAGAAAAAATAATATTAGTGGTTAACATTATGCAGTTATGTGTACAAAAAAAAGTATCGTACAAAGAATAAAATATTGTTATTCAAACGACAAATATTAAATTACGTCCAATTTTTCCCGCGGGGAATGCATGTATAACTTTTATTTTATTTTATTTTTTTTTGTTGTCTTAGAATGATTAATATTGTTTTGAGGATTTACCAACAGAGATTGTTACTTTTAACTGATTAACTTTATTTTTGTATAGAAAGAAATTTAAGAAAAGTCTGAGTTTGTTCGTTTTCCGATGGGAATAAAAAAAACTTTACTTTATTTCACTTAATTTACTATAGTAAAAGAAATTATTTAATATAAATTTAATAAACTTTCGATTTTGTCACAATTCTGTAACCTATTAGTCTTAAAAGTATAAATAATTTACTTAAATAATAATTTACTAAACTAAATTATTATAAATCATTTAAATTATTATAAATCATTTTAAATTATTATAAATTATTAATATTAAATTGATTGTGGATTCTTTTTTGATTATTTTTTGATTAGTTAATTATTATTTTTTTTTTTTTGAGTTCAAAATATAGAAATAAATAAATAGAAAATAAATAAATAAATAGAAAATAAAGTAATAAAGTATACAAAATTATTTACTATATTTATAAATCATATTATTTCTAATTTTATATAAATAAATAAATATATATATATATAAATGAGTAAATGAGTATAATCGTAAAAATATAATAATAAAAAATTAATAATAATAATAATAATAATAATCGCCTGGTCCCACAAATAGTTGTACAGTATAACTTAACTCCACTTATTTTTAAGGATTTTCTGGATTTTAAGGTTTGTTTCGTCATCAATATAGTGATTTTCACCTATATTCTTATTAATTTATCTGATTTTGAATTTGCTTAGAATCAAATAACAGATAATGTCAACGTCGTCCCTATTGTTCAATTGTTATCCGTGGCGGGGTGGTGGCGTTTTTTCCCAAGATTTTTGACCCCTCTTCATAAACTTTTTTCTTCCCGTTTTTCAGAGTTGTTCTTGAACACAAAAACTAAGAGTGGTTTGCCTAACTTAAGTTTCCTAAACAAAAAATAATATAATTTTTTCATAAAAAAAAAGAAAGTTTTTTTTTTTTTTTTTAATAATTACAAATTAATAAAAGTTAATACCCAAAAATTAATTAATATTCCACCAAAAGTTAATACAAAAAGAATATATATTTTTTTTATTCTAAGAAAAATTAAAAGTAATAATGCCTGCAACCCGTAAACACCTTCACATTTCAAAACCACGTCGTCGTCAAAGGTCCGTAAGCCTTACAACTCGGGCTTCACGGTGCGGTGTAAAGAATTACGTTAATGTCTTAAAAAGTGTTCACCCCACTGTTGAGTTATTTTTCCCTGTAACAAAACAGTATTTACAAGAATATATTGATGCTAAGAAAAAGCAAGGAACTATAAAAGCAAACTCCCTTGACCAATATTTTCAGCACATTGAAAGTTATAATATGGCGCTAGGCCACGGTTGGGATTCCCAAGAATTCGAACCCATGATGCGAGAAGTATTGGAAGATTTGGTTCAGAATGAAGAAAAATGTAACGGAACACGTAAAAATACATCAACCCCTGAAGATGAAGATGAATTAAGTCATGAAGACTCAAATGGTAAGTTATCCAAAGTGACAAAAAGTGACAAGGATATATTTTTTTTTCCCTTTAAAAAAGATAAACAGAGAATAAAATGAAATGAAATTCGATCATCTCATTTTTTTTTTTTTTTTCCATTTTTCTCATTTTATTTTTTCTCCAGTCACATCATTATCATCATCATCATCATCATCATCATCGCTATTTATTCCTCTTGTTTGTTTTGACATGACTCATGTTCCTCCTGTGAAGATTGACCGTCAGATTCAAATATCTATTTCAAACGTTGACCCAATCGCGGAACCAAATCTTGCGCTTCAACAACTGTATCAAAACATTAGCAATGCAAAATTCCCAAAGAAATGGGGAAAAGTAGATCCAAATAATGTTTATTATCGTTCTGGTACATGGAAAGATGCCCAACACATTGAATTAGTTGACGGAGATACTTTTAATCATTTTTGGGAAGATCTTACTAATCATAGGGAAGGGGGGGAAGAGGTGCAATTACTTGTCTATACAAAACAACGAAACATCGTACCAGGTAAAATTTTAGTTGGTATCATTGTTCTTTTTGTTTATTATAAATAAAAAATTATTATTGAACATATAAACTTAAATGAACAATCGGTTTTCCTTCCTTTCCAGCTCAAAACATGACAATTCAACCCACGACAATTCAGCAGGATATCGAGATGACTGCGGTAACATCAAAATCATCTTTGGCTCCTCCCACCCCTCGAAAGAGTCCCCCACGATTACAAGTTTCCGCGCTTGATTTTAGTTCAGGACCGGGTACGTTCTTTATAAATCTAATAATATTTTCTTTAGATTGAAATGTTGTAACAACTATTGAAGTTAATAATCATAATCATAATAATTTTAAATAATTACATGATATCAATATTGAATGTTATATATCTATTAACTTAAAATTATACAATTAGAGAGTTCGGCACCTTCACCAACTTTCTTACAACTCAAATCAGTTACTGTCAGATCACCTAACCGAGTTTACAAACAAAATATCGCAATTACCGATAAGACAACATTCTCTTCACTTTTAACTTTTGCGATCAAGAGATCCCCTCCTCCCGGTAAACAATTTTTAATACAAAGTTCGGATGGCGAATTAGAATATATGCCTGAAGATCCGGTAAGAAATGTGATTCATGGTACCATTCATGCAGATGTCGTCGTAAAAGTTGAGGATATAAGAGAAATTGATTTCAATCAATTTTGATCTATTTTTTGAATGATGGATTTACATATAACTATCGAAATACTTATTATTATGATCAAAATAAGTTTATTCCTTTTTCATGTTTTAAGTTTTCGAATTTCAACAGGTTTTATTTACACGGTCTTTTGATTAACACTCGAAACTACATATGATGTATTGAACATTGATTATTATTTTTTTTTAGGATCTGATTTCTTGTACAGTCTTTTTTTACGAACAATTTCTTTTTTTATTTTATTTTGTTTTATTTCTGAAGTTCTATTTGTTATGATTTTTAAAACGCAAGACTTATTTTCCTTATTTTTTTGAGAACTTAATGGTTGAAGTTGGAGAGAGAGCAATCTGAAAGTTGCTTATTTTTAAAAAAAAAAATGTAATTAACTTTGAAAATTTTTATTTTTCGATATAAATGAATATGAATAAATTGTTTATTTTTTTTTAATGAAATAATGGATTTCTATAAAATAAATTTAAAACTTCTAAATTAGGAATCAAAAAATATTTTCTAAGTTTAGATTTTTATTAAAACTTAGAAACATTATAATATAATCAGCTGTCAAAAATTTGTGGCGCTCTTTTTTTCCGAATTTTAAGCTTTTTTTTTTGTCGATCTCAATGATAGTTTTGGGTCGTTTGTTACTTATTTTGACCAACTTATGACTACTTATGTTCATGTGATCTCAAATTTACAATATTAATATCCGTACATTGCATGAATAATCAATTTTGTGTGACTTGTCGGAAAAATAAAGTACACTCTGCATAATTATAATTATATTCTTGACATATATGAAAACATATAGATAATGCTGAGTAATAATGAAAGAAATATCTAATGAAAGAAATTTAACAATTAAAAAAATTCCCTAAAAGTAGGCTTTGCTTATTGCTAGGCGTTTAATAATCGTGCAGAATGCATTTGCCACGTCACACGAGGGCAAGACCACAGTTCGTAGCTTCGTGAACATTTTCAGCCTCACAATTATCAAATTTCGGGGCTGAGACACAGTGTTGAAAAGTATGCATCACGGCTTGCCTCTCATAATACCAAGGCTTGTTCCGCATCTTTTTATACCCGATTCTCGAAATTGCAAGAAAGCAATTTGAGCTTCAAGATTAAGTATCTCTCAGTTTTGACAATTTCACAATTAGCTTCAAGATTGGTTCTATGATTACGATGTTTCGTTTTGTGTATAAAATCTACTGAAATTCTTCCTGATTCATTTCCTTTCCTTTTCACTATAAATTTGAAATATTCAAAGATAATTGAGCAAATAAAGAAAAATAAAAATGATAATGTTTGGTGCACTAATTATGCATACCGAATCTTGTAGTTTGGTGTCTATTATATTGTTGACTTGACCGCGTTACTTCTTCACCTTCTTCACTTGAAGATCCAGATTCTTTTTGGTGATTTTAAAAAGAAATCCATGAAAGATAACCATCCTATATTTAATTTCATCAAATTCATCTTTTATAGATTGCAAATACTCGAGAACGTCGGCTTACTTCCATTTTCTAACAAAAGAGTATGGTTAGAATGTTAAGTAAATAAATTTATTTTAAAAACTTTATATGAAAATTAAGTTTAAACGAAACTTGCATGGATGGCAAACTGGTATCCTCGATTATACATATATTGCAACAATGATGAAAGGTGAAAAGATAAGTATTTTCGGGATGCATCGTAATAATCATGAAATTCCAATTGGCAGTCATATTTATTTTGACAGTATACGAAATTTCCATTAACTTTTTGAATATTTGCTCGGAAATTATTTCTGTAAATTTATTTTCACCAGTGATAAAAATCATATATAGGTGACTAGCTGATTTTTATATAATGTGATTGTATAGGAGGTGATTGTTCTGTAATTTTAATTTAATTCCTAATTTATATATATTAATCAACTGGTTGTAAGAAATAAATAAATAAATAAATAAATAAAACAAGATGAGTTTACCTAAAATAGATTGATGAATGAAAATATTATTTTTTGTACATTATTTAAAATCGAATAGCATTAATAATTTTAAGGAAACTCTAAAAAAGGTTTAACTAACTATATAACTCATAATTTTATGGAGCATTCATAAATCCTTATTAGAACAAATACAGACGCCTCATAAAACAACTATAGTAATCGAATGTTTCTCCCTGAAATAAATAAATGTCAAAGAATATATGCGTATACTGAATAATGGACCTTTTTTAAATAGATTCCAAATTTAAAGACACAGATAAAGGTGGTTTAGGTCCAATTCTCACGTGCGAATATTGTATATAACAAGTTGCTATGGCATTGCACAAATCCTATTGTTTAAACGGACTTTTTATGAAGAAAAAGAAGTATTTCTTTTTTTCATTCTTCTTAATTTATATAATTCATTTCTAAAAGGATTTTTATGATTAGTAATGTTCATGTGAATATACTTAAAGTTGTAATTTCAAGTTAGATAAATAAAATAATAATTAATAATAATTAAAAGCTCGCATTATCTGATTTATTACTTTAGTAGGTCAAAAATCTAATGTATGGTAATTTTATAAATTTGACCGACTAAATTGCTTGATCGTTTAAATCATTTTTACATATTCAATATATTTAAAATGTGTACCATGTCTTAACTTTGACGATCTTCATTGATATATTTATGTGATAAAAAATGCAAAGTCTCGTTGCAATATGTTTTTATTTTCCCGAATTATATACATGAGGGTTAATAGCATAATACAGTTATATTGGTGCATATTTTCAATTACACACTACACATATATGATTTAAAAAAACCAAATCCCAATTTGGAGCGAAATCTTTATAATTATTCCTTTGTTACAGAATGAAATTATCATGATAAAAATATAGTACACAGTTCTAAAAACACCTGCAAATAATTAATAATAACATTTTTTTTTGTTCCAGTGAGGTCTTGCCTCAAATTTATTAATTAGAAAAAGAGAAAGTTTTTTACATTACATAGGATTACATAATACAAAATACACAACTTATTCTAATGTTTATTTGAAAAGATGAGACTTGGATTAACTCATAAGAGATGGCCCACAACCTACCACCTGAAAAAAATATTTTACTATATTTATTAAGTATCTGATATATCTATTAGATATTTAATAAGTACATAAACATGTACATTACTTTTATATCTATTAGATATTTGATAGGTGTAATATTAATAAATTTTTGACTAGTGTAAGTTATATTGATCTTGGAATTTTTTTTTATCGAAAAAATTTCACTCACAAATATATATAGATATATTTGTAATTAATATAAACTGAATATATGTGAATAATAATTTACACAAAATTATAAATCAAAAATGTCACAAAGACTTTATTAATATTATTATTATTAAGAACATGCACACATACTTTTAAGCTGGAAGAAAACTTAGTCTTTATATACATTATAATTATTGTCAATGTTCATGCTGATATTTAGATCAATATTATTGTCAATAACTATATCAGTACCTTTGTCAATATGTATGTCAGTATTATTACCAGTACAACTGGTAGTAACTTTGTTTATGTTTATGTCAGTGTACTATTGAATTGCATTTGATTATATAATTATTTGTACAAGCTAAACTAAATAACAATTTCTAATTTGTACAACTTGATTAAATTAGTCTACTTATACTAATAATTATAATACTATAATAATTAATAATATAAATATAAAGAATATAAGAATAATAAATAATAATGTAAAATAATATAATAATAAAAAAAATAAGCTAACAATTCTTTTACATTTAATTCTAAAGTTTTACTTAGAATATATCAATGTTAATTACAAGGTCTCTAAGTTCTTAATTGTATTGAAGTAGTTTTTGATATTAGATGGTTTTCATTCATGTTATAATTTGATAAGTTAAGTTTAAAGTGCAATAAATTTGACTACCATTTTTTTCTAAGAGCTTATAAAGTTATTCAAAATCTCAATAAAAATAAATTTTATTTGAAATACAAGTGTTACATACAAACTCTTTCTATTTTTCACAGGAGCTAACAGATAGTTGAATTAATTTGCCTAAGTAGTATCTATAAACCATAGTCATAATTCTATTTTTCTAAAGTATTTCCTGTTTTAGTTTTTGGCAAACATGTTGAATGAAAGTTTCCTATAGTTCAGTTAAATTATAAGGTCAATTAATTTGTTTCAAAGTATAATTTTTTAGTTATATTAAGTCTTGTTGATATTTCAACATGTTAAATTTAAGGAAAAATTTTTGAAAACAATGGAAAATTATATATCTATTTAAACTTATGCCATTAAAATTTTTAATATTACTTTTTCTCAAACAATAATAATTTGTGATATCTATGTAGATCTTTTATAATACAACTTTAACAGTGAATTATTAATTGGTGTTTGTATTACTTTTCCATCCAAAATCTTTAGTTTATAAATCTCTAGATATAGTTAATTATGAATATAAAAAGGTCCTTTTCACTTAAGATTTAATTTAACAATGTGACTGGTGTATTTAATACTAAAATCTTATCAGTTGTAATACTCTTTTTATTTTTGTTGTTGTTTATATACTTAAACTTGTGTTTTGCCTTTTTTCTCAGGTAGAGTAACAGTAATAGATTTTTCTCTATATACTTAAGTCCTTCCTTAATAGAGAATTTTACAGCTTGACTATATATAAGATAAAAAGGTTCTATTTTTATAGTAAATTATTTAGTGATGTTACATAATAAAGTTATTATGATAGAAAAATATAATATACAATACTAAAAATATCTACAAATAAAACAATAACATTAGAAAATAGTAATATTTAAAATTCAATTAGTAAATATTAATCTATTTAATGAATAGTAATATTTTAACTAATATTTATATCCAGTAATACATATTAATTAGACATGTAATAGTGTACAAGATCACATGTTCATGTGATATTTAGTTATACAAACATAATTATTAATTCATAATATTATTTATTATTACATATTATTATTTAACAATAATTATTAATATCTAATATCAATTAACATTAAATATATTTAGTAAGTAATATAGAAAAATAATAAGTGACAGATAATATATTTCAAGAGATACTTTACAAAATATTATAATTCAAGAATTTTTCTTGACATTTTTTATATAATTTTTTAGTAACAGAAATTTCTTGATATTTTTTAACAAACATTGTTTGCAAAAATTTGTAAAACTGTGCAATCTCAAAAATTTGATATATAAGATAAGATAAATGATCATATTACAAAATATACAAGATATTTGATGACCATTTTTGTGTTGTGCAATTTTGATCAAGATACAATTTTGGATAAGTAATAGATTAAAATAATTATATTGTAAAATATAATGTATATGTGATATATTTCGAATAGTACTAGTAGATATAACTTATGTTGAAAAATCTTGAAACACCAAAGTAAAATTATTATAGGAAAGTTATATTATTGCTCTTTGATAGGTCAAATATAATATATTTTTTGAGCCACCAAAGTAAAATTATATTATATATAGAAATTACACTTTCATAGGTTAAATGTGATATACTTCCTAATTATATATTGATGGATCATCAAAGATTTTTCAATATGAGTACTATTTCAAATAAAAAAGAATAAAATATTAGTGTTTCAAAATAGAGTGTACATATAATATATAAAATTATACTTTGATAGGACATCAAAAATTTTTCAAAGTAGATAATATTTTAAGCAATAAAGTAAATTATCAAGAAATCTATATAAATTTGTAAATTTATTTGAATTTTTTCTAAACCAAAAAATATTCAGATATATTTGCTCCCAAAAATTTCCTGATGGGTGAATATATCCAGATATATTTGAGAATCAAAAAAATATCCAAATATATTTGTTCCGGATATTTGAGAATCAAAAAAATCTGAATATATGCAAATATATTTACATAAATTTACAAATTTATCTGGATTTTTTCTAAACTGAAAAATATCCAGATATATTTTCTCCCAAAAATTTCCTGATGAGAATGTTATTTTCTAATATGTTAGTACCATTCAAATTAGAGGTGCGATCCGGATCGATCCGCGTGATCCGTAATCCGTGTTACCATCAAATTTTCAATCCGTGATCCGTTATATAGTCAATCCGATCAATCCATGGATTATCCGCGGATTGGACGGATTGATCCGTGGATTATGCAGATCATCCGTCCAATCCGTGGATCATGCGTCCAATCCGCGGATCATCCATCAATCCGCGGATTATCCGTCCAATCCGTGAATTATTTTTTTCCCGTAGATAATAAATTATAATTATTTACATCAAATAGAGAGATTTCGATAACCTGTGATCCAATTTTAACGATTTATGGCTCATTAGATTCCTCTCATTGAGGTGAACATTTTGATAGTTGTTTCATCCAAATTGAACATCTCTACGCCATGTTATTAAATAAAACATGCTTAATCAGTAATAAAATTCTTTTATAATTATCCACATCAAATA